TGTAGTTGTGTATGTGCATGTACGCCACACCATTCATTACGCAGGAGATGTGTATCATGCTGATAAACGCAGCCACACGCACAGGAAAAGACTAATAATCACGCATACCAGGGTTTTAGACTTAAGAGGTGTGTATGTATGTGTGTATGTATGTGTGTATGTTTGCGTGTTTGCGTGTATGTCTGCATGTTTGTGTGTATGTTTGTGTGTATGTGTGTATGTTTGTGTGTATGTGTTTATGTTTGTGTGTATGTCTGTATGTATGTGTGTATGTCTGTGTGTATGTGTGTACGTTTGTGTGTATATGTGTATGTTTGTATACATAGTGTGTACCTATCCTGGGCTGACAAAAGGCTCACATACACACCCAACCCCAATACCCAACTCAGCCACTCATCCCTCCTCTCTCCTTCTCTCCCACACTCCACAGCCTATTCCAGTCCATCTGGCTTTACCTTGACTTTGAGACCGAAGCCATTGTCAAAGGCTACCAACACGTTATCAGTCCCCTCACCGCAGCCACACTGCAGTGGTACCTGTCTCGGTGGTCTGCGACCTATCTGCTGCTCTCACCCGACGCTTACCATACACTGCCACACCATATACGGCAGAGTCTGGGCAAGGACTCGGAGCTAGGTAGGTATATTCAGGATTGGTGTGTATTGTGTATGTGTGAGTGTGCTTCTGCGTGTGTGTAAGTATATTCAGGATGAGTATGTAGTGTGTAACCTGTGTGTGTGTGTGTGTAGGTATATTCAGGATGTGTGTGTAGTGTGTACGTGTGTGTGTGTGTGTGTGTAGGTATATGCAGGATGTGCGTGTAATGTGTAGCCTGTGTGTGTGTATGTGTGTGTCACATATAACTGTAGGTGTAGTTCAACGCTCACTAGCAGACTAGTCCTCGCCCTGTCCCTTTTTTTGGTCACTAACTAACTGCACCTCACCCTGTCCCTTTTTTTGGTCACTAACTGACTGCGCCTCACCCTGTCCCGTTTTTTCGGTGCACCCATTATTAACAGGCAAGGGCCGCTTCAATTGGATTGTGGAGAAAATCTATCTTAATCTGAGTCGATGGTACGCTGAGCCAGATGTCACCGAGTAAGTAGGACGAGAATGGGGTGTGGCTTTTGTGTGCATTTGTGAGTTAATAATTAGTCAATTGTCAAATATATATAAATATATATACGATGGCACCGCCATCCCGCAATGGCTGACACTATGCAATACCGGGATATACCATGCTCCAATCCCTGTCTCTCCAGCGCTACAGCCAATCTGCTGCTTACGCTATGCAAGAACACCACACAACGCCAACAAATGACGCACTGTGCTGCCTTCCCGCAATTGTTGACTTTGTTCAATACCGGGATGCCTGGTCAGAACAACCCCAACCCCAATGTCGCCCCCCCTCCCCAGTTACCCGCCAGTGTGCAGCGGAGGATCGCTCAGGCCGTTACTATGGCAACCGCTGGTAATCAGGTATACGTCTATATATATATATATATATATATATATATATATATATATATAATATATNTAGTTGTTGTTGTCGT